GGGCCGGCGCCCGGGGCGTCCCTGCGGCTACGGCGCTCGGGCGCCCCCCTTCACCGCATGCTGGGGAGGGACCCAGCTCTGCGAGGCCGCCCCACACCCGCGGCGGCTCGGCTCACGCCCCAGGAAATGCCGCGAGACTCCTCGAGACCGGAGCGGGGGTCGTGGGGGAGGGGGCGTCCGAGTGGAGAGGCACGTGGGAAAGGAGGTGGAAGCGGAGACCTACTGGGTGCGACGAGAGATGGAGGGCGGGCTGGGGGTGGGGAGGCCAAAGGTAGGTGAGGGAATGAACACCTGCTGAGGGTGATGGCAGGTAACTCCGGGATCGACGATCAAGGCAACCCAGAATAAGCTTTCACAGAGCGGTCTGTTGGGAAGGCAGGAGAAAGGGTCCCTATGGAGGGAAAGAGATGCTACATCCATTCAGTGCAGCGTGGGAAAGGCCGGCCAAGTGCGAGTTCGGCTTACAGGAGGCGGCGGAGAGGAGGTTCAGAAAGACAGAAGGACGCAGCGGGGCTGGTGGGGCACATCGCCCCGCACCGACCCTCGCAGGGACCCCTAGCCCCGCACCCCGTGCCTGGGCCAGGTGGGGTTGGGCTGCTCAGCTGTGTTCCCAGGCTCTGATGTTCCCAAGAATCTCCTGAGGCAAGGGCTGACTCCCTCCCCAGCAAGGTACTGTGCCACGTTGCCCCCCCCACCCCGCCCCCGACCTAGGCAGCTGACCTTTGAATCGGCGCTGAAATTAAAACAGGGAATTCATAGGTAACTCACAAGCTCCTTTTTGGGTCCATTCACCACTACACCTTTTGCCATACTCTGCCAGCCAGCACCACATTCATTTGCCATCTGTTTATTTCCTTTTCCCTTTCCACCATCTGGTGGTAGGAAGAGATAGTGAAATAGATGGGAAACATTCAGAAAGAGAGAAAATAAAACAATTAAGAAATCAAATCACTGGCCCCTGAAAAACGGAGGAGGCTGAAGGTTAGTGGACCCAGAGGTGACAAATAAAAGCTGACCCCTACCCTATATATAGGGCTGTGTTCATACCTCACCCATGATGTTCGGGCAACTTTGGTAAATAGGTTACATCCTGAGATTTCTGCAGAAAGATTTTCTTATAATTGTTTCATTAGCTTTAAAAAAAAAACAAACACCTCTCACAGTCAGGGTCTTATCAACAAGAGATCAGTAACATCAACTTTCTAAATACTTTTCTTATGTGTCAGAGCAATCTAAACAAGAGACGAATCAAGGAGGAGAAGACCCATCCCTGGAGCTACAGAGAAGGTAGTAGTGTTAGCAATGGCAGACTCCTAAGGAAGGGCTTAAAGAACATGGAAATTAAGAATTCGAAGTGTTGGAGGCACAGATGAATACTCATACCTGCCCCAGGATCCATGGTGCCTCACTCGTTACATGCCTTGGCATACCAGAGAGATGAGGCCTTGTGATAGATCTTAGAGTTGACAAACACTGAAACTCATAGAGCCGGGCTAAGGCCCACTGTTACTAGGACTTTTTTTTCTTGAACCCCACCCGGAAGAACCAGTCTGGGGTCTGTCCAATTCCAGAGGTAACTCTTTTTGCTAAGGCCACGGTCATTGGGCTACCTTATCCCTCTCCCAAGAAGACTTGGGGCCCTGAAAATGACTGGGCATGTTTCAACACAGAAATAGCTGAGCTGGACTTGTGGTGGGCTAGCATCTCGGTGCTGAGGATTCTCTGCTGGCTGCCCCGTGCATTCTCAGAGCAATGGGACCAAAGTCTTCGAACAGCGTCAGTGATACCCACCGTGGCTTACCTAGATGTTGCAGAGACAAATACACCTAAACCAGCAAACGTGGCTGAATTCTATAGGCCTCAAAAAAAAATCAGCAGCTTGTCTCGTGGTCCTGCTTATTCTTTTTTTTTTTAAGATTTTATTTATTTATTTGACAGAGAGAGACACAGCGAGAGAGGGAACACAAGCAGGGGGAGAAGGAGAAGCAGGCTTCCTGCAGAGCAGGGAGCCCAGTGCGGGGCTCGGTCCCAGGACCCCGGGATCATGACCTGAGCCGAAGGCAGATGCTTAACAACTGAGCCACCCAGGCGCCCCGGACCTGCTTATTCTTATTCATCTCTCTATCCTACATGGGGAAGACAGTCTTCTTGTTTACGTTTTTCCCCCAGCTTTGCACAGGTGAAGACAGACGACCCGAACTTTTGTGTCTTGTTTTGGCTCTGGTCTGTTTCAAGTCATACCTTTCCTTCTTGAATCAGAGAACTGCGTCCCTACTCCTTGATCTGGGTATGCTTCCTGCATGGGTAAATCTGTCATTTTTTAAAAAGATTTATTTACTTATTTGAAGGGGAGAGGGGCAGAGGGAGAGAAAGAATCTCCAGCTGACTTCCCACTGAGCGCAGAGACCTACACGGGGCTCCAGCCCAAGACCCTGAGATCATGACCTGAGCCAAACTCAAGAGTCCGATGCTCAACTGACTGGGCCACCCAGGTGCCCCGATAAACCTGTCATTTTATGACAAAAGAAAGACTGATGACAAGACTTAACATTTTTGAAAGTCCCGAGCTGTACCCTAATTCTATTGCCTTAAGTAAACTAAATGGTATGAATTCTACTCAAACACTGTAGAGTTTTTTCACTTTAAGTTTCTCTAAATTACAAAAATGGATATTCTTACACACACACACACACACACACTGTTCGGTTCTCCTGAATGGTTCCTATTGTCCTTTTATTTTTCCTTTGAGAAAGTTTTGGTGACCAGCACAGGGGTAGTTAATGTCAAAATTCAAATCCAGCTACTGACAAGAATAGATGTGTAATTCCTCATCCTGCCTCCCTCTTAAAGGAGTGTTGTTTAACAGAATAGTTAGTGCAATATTTCAAATTACATGAATCTGTCTCATGAATATTGCTAAATAAATACAGTTGTATTTGATACCACAGCTTTGTCCCACTGAACTCCCATTTCAACCAGAATGGATGATGCATTTTGGGAATGGAGAGTAGCTGAGGTGTGACACTTAAAATGATATCACATGACTTAAGAGGCCCTTCGGTGTTACTGAGGGGTGGTAACATTTTGGATAAAAATGTAAGGCAGTTGAGCTTCTGCCCATGTAGCTCTGACAGCTTGTCATGCTTGCTCTCTTCAAGTACTCGGACTTGACATCTGTACTTTACATGTAATAAATGATACTTTGCTTTGATAACTTTAATAGCATCTTTACATTAATAGAAATTACATACAGAGTGCTTTACAAAAGACAGTCTTTATCTGGTGCTTCTGATGAGCTTTATGGAGAAACGGAAAACCTCACGGTGCCAGAAAGTAAGGAAAGTGCCCAATAAAAATGATGGTGCAAATCAAAAGGGCCCAGGAGCCAACCTGAAAGAGCTCCCAAAGACCAAAGCTGGGACAATTCAAGCAACAAGTAACGATTCTATTGGATTATAACCCAAAGATATCATAAAAGTTATGTCTTTAAGTCTATAGGGGTATACACAAATAGCTAAGTAAATAAGTCAGGGAGAGGGGACAAGTCTTCCCTACAGAGGAATTCCAATTTGTAAATGTAGAAGAAATGAGGGAAAGGGAAAATTGCCATAGAACACCATAGTAATAATTGAGGCAGGCACGATCCACCTCAAATTTTCAAATTAGTGGGCACATAAGTGAAGGAGAAACCCTGGCAGACAGCGGCCTAAGCAAGCAGTCAAAACTTGCCACTGATGGTTTTGAGGCAGGCTTTTCCCTTCTTCCTTTGCATCGTGCATGCTGGGTTCAAGGTAATGTGTGCGGATCGCATCAAAAGCCATGGAAATAACATCCTGCTCTGTCGCAGTTGATCTGGCTTGATAACCACTCTTGGAATGACCCACTCACTTCTCCTTTTATCTTTTTCAGTGACTCCTTTGCGACAAATCCAAGAGAACTGGTTTTACCAGCTCTATGGAGATGAAAACTAATCAAATCAAAGAAGCAAGTCGTTTATAAGACAGCTGAACTATGATTATCTTTACAAGGTTTGTAGGAAAGGCTTGCTTTGCAAAGGAAAACACAAAGGAAGTCACTAAAAGGTGAAATGTGCTCTCCCACAAGGCTATAAAACTGGAATAGGGTGTTCCTGTTTCAATATCCAAAGGCTGCCTGAGTACTTGACTTCCCAGTTGATCAGTCACAGGAACTTGTATCTAAAACACACAAAAAGAGCCCCAGGGTGTAGACTAACTTGCCTCAAACATTTTCCCATCCTTTTTCACAGTACTGCTTTACCTAAGAAAATCGTAAACTGGTAAAATAGTCCTAGGAGATTAACAAGAAATATAGTTTGTACTGTTTTCTACCCATTCTACCCATCCCCCCATTATAAGGGGTCACGTGTAAAGAAGGATATTATTACAAAAAATGAAGTGATATTCCAAAAAAGTGCCAAAAACAGTAAACATAATTTAAGATCATATGTGTGAAATATGCATTTAATAAATATGA